AACTGGGGGAAACTTACCCCCCCCCTTTTCCCCCAAATTAATTTTTTGAAAAAAGGGAGCCCAAAAAAAAAGGGGGGGCCAGGGGTGTTTTTTTTTTTTTTCCTTCCCTTCTTTTTGGGAAGGGGCTTTTCCCTTTTTTGTTTTTCCCTTTTTTTTTTGGCCCTTTTTCCTTTTTTTAAAAAAAGGGTGGGTTTCCCCCTTTTTTTGTTTTTTTGGCAAACCTTTTTTGGAAATGGGTTTTCCTCCCCCAGGTGGTTATTTTTTTTTAAAAAAAGGGAAAAAACCCAACCCGGTTAAAAAAAGTTTTTGCCTGGTTTTTTTTTCCCTTTTAAAACCCCCTTTTTCCCCCCAAACCCCCCAAAAAAAGGGGGGGGCCCAATTTTTTTTGAAAAAAAAACCCTTTTTTTCTTGGGGGGGGGGGGCCCAATTTTTGGGGGAAAATTCTCCAAAAAAAACCCCCCACCCCCTCCCCCCCCAAAAAAAAAAGCCAGGGGAAAAACCCCCAAAAAAAAACCAAAAAAAACCCTGGGAATTTGGAAAAAAAAAAAAAAAGGGGGCTTTCCGGGGGGCCCCCCAGGGGGTAAAAAAAAAAAAACCCCCCTTTTTTAATGGGAAAAAAAAAAAAAACCCTAATTTTTCTCTTCCTCCCTTTTTTTTTTCCCCTTTTTTCCCCTTTTTCCCCTCCCCCCGTTTTGGTTTTTTTTGTTTTTTGTTTGGAAAAAGTAAAAAGAAGAAAGAAAAAAAAAGTCAAAACAAATTTAAAAAAAGAAAAAAAAAAAAAAAAAAAAAAAAAAAAAGTAAACCCCCCCCCCCCCCTTGGGGGGCCCGGGGAAGTGCCCCTTCCCCCCCCCCCCAAAAAATTTTTTCAAGTGTTGGGTGTTTTTCCTGCTAGGGGGAAAAGATAAAAGTTTTTTTGGGGGGGTGGGGAAAAATGCCCCCAAAAAAAGAAAGTGGGCCCAGCAAAAAAAAAAGAAAAAAGGAAAAAAAAAAAAAAAAAAAAAGGGTTTTTTCGAATGGCTGTTTTTGGGGTTGGAAGGTAAAAAAAAAAAAAGAAAAAGAACAGCATACTACGTTTTTCTACACGATGGGGAAACCATTCCAAGTGCCACAAGAACACTTAAGAGACAGGACAAGAGCTCAGAGGGAGAATGCTGCTCCTTCATAATTGGAAAGGAGTCAGGTTGAGGTTGTTCAGCATGCTGATCAGGGATCCTTCCTAAGAAGGCTCTAGGGGCAGGACCAGGGAAAGACACTGGCAGGAAATTAAATGTCCCATCATGCTAGGAAACCAACCTCAGATTCCTCAAAGAGGGAGACTGGAGGAGGTGAGTAGAAGAACATCTGGGCTACTGACCTTTAAAGACCTTACACAAACAGCAGAAATCAGATTGTAAAAGGAAGTTGGTATTTCTGTAGCCAGCATGATGCCTCAAAATGGTTCACTTCCCAGTTTGGACGGGCCAGTTTAAGTGGGGGGAAAAGGTCATACAACAGTATTTTGTTCTTTGATCCCTCATCCCCAGGGGCCTAACCAGCACAAAACTCCGCATTAAATACCTTGAGCGTATTATATATATACAAACATGCAGCCCCAGTAGACTGACCCTGCAGCTCTGATGGATCAGTATGGATTGTACAGACTGGTGAGAATCCAGGACCACGTTGATATCTGTTTCATGGGTTGTCTGGTCCACCAACCAGAATTGGTGGATTTCCAGCCTCCGTGTCCTGCTGGGAGGTTTTCGATGCTTGCTGGGTCGGTCCCAGGAGGCCTAGCCCTTACCCCCTTGGTTTGTGTTGCCTGAACAAAAGGAAATGAACCCAAACCCAGCCTTTTTCAGTTCCAGACCCTCACCAACTTTCTTCCTGTCCTACCCCCCCAAAGATTACAGGTACAAACTCTTCCCGGGCTTTCAGGTACAACTCCGGCCAACACAGGTACCAACTCTTCCTGTCAAGGGTACAACTCCTGCCCAACAAACAGGGTTACAAACCCCCTGGACCTCAGGTAAACTCCTCCCAAACACAGGTAAAAATTCCCCCCTGGACTCAAGGTTAAAACTCCCCCTGACTCAGGTACAGCTCCTCTAATACAGGGGTACAAAACTCCCCCTGACTCAAGTACAAACTCCCTCCAAACCACAAGTACAACCCTCCAAATACACAGGTACAACTCCTCCAAACCACAAAGTACAAACTCCCTCCAAACACAGGTACAACGTCCCCCTGACTTCTGGAGGGGAAAATTCTTCCATAATCTGGAGAGTTGCTAGTTCTCTGAAGAATTACAAACCCAGTGTGATGAATCAAATTCCTTTACTCATGCAGCATGGAGAGAAGACCACAGCATAGACGTTCTCTCTATACTTCCAGAATGCTATCCCTTTAAACAGGGAACACACCTGTTGTCCTATTTATATTACTAATGTGAAGTCCACATATGGGTTTGAGGTCTCTCACACAATGGTCCTGTAAGCTGACCCTATGACTGTGATCAACTGCTCACCAGTCATCCCCTACCATAAAAACACAACCCCCCTAAACCCTCTATATATATATTTACTACCCATCCAACATTTTCATTCACCACACAGGTATATCTGTAACAAAGTTGCTAACAGTTAATCAGCAGCAGCTTTTTGTCTCTGCAGAAAGCCCTCAGAGTTGTGTCATCCATATCACTCAGCTGGAGAGAGACACTGTCCTGGTCTGTCTGGACCGTAAGTTAATGATATTGTTTTTTTTTAATATAAATAATATTTAATTATTCTAATAATAGAAGTTTAATTTTGATAACCTGAGCTGTGTTTGTACTTTCTACTTCCTGTAGGTTGTATAAAGATCGTAAACCTTCAGGGGAAACTGAAGTCCAGCAAGAAGCTGTCAGCTGAGCTCACCTTCAACTTCCAGATCGAGGCGATTGGTACACCACTTTAAATGTGCTATAAACAACCTCATACATGCACTCAAAATCTTCAAAAAAACCCTCAGACATCTGACTCCAGGTGTGTTGACTCCTCCTTTTTCTCAGTGTGTTTACAGGACAGTGTTTTGGCCTTCTGGAGACATGGCATGCAGGGGCGGAGTTTCAGATCAAACGAGGTAATAATCATCCAATCAGAGAGCGGGAACCCACCCACCTCACTGCTGTGTCATAACATCTGTTTTATTCTGTTCTGTAGATCACTCAAGAGATCAGTGACAACAGCAGGATGTTCCGCCTGCTTGGCTCTGACAGGTGAGACACCTGTCTGGTATAAACACAGATAAACAGACGGGTGAACAGTCTGTCATCTTACCTGTCTGTCTGTCTGTCTGCAGGGTGGTGGTTCTGGAGAGCAGAGCGACAGATAACCCGACTGAACACAGTAACCTGTACATACTCGCTGGACACGAAAACAGCTACTAAAACCAGGACCAAACCAGGACCAAACCAGGAACAATCCAGAAACAAACCAGTTCAAATGAAGTTATAAATCTGGAGTGCTTCAGTCTGGTATTGTACGACTGTGGTTCTGCCATCTTACCATCACATTTCTGAAGAACAAGGACCAAACCAGGTCCTGTATTGTCCACGACTCAAATTATCCCACAATTCAACTGTAAATGTAGTCAACGAACAATGGTGCCAGCTACTACCATGCATTACAGTTGACAGGAGTAGTGTCCGACACCAAGTTAACAAGTTTAGACCCTGCCAGTCATTCCAAACTGGACCCACAGCAGGTTTGGCCCAAGAAACAGGTCAAGAACCAGAGTCCAGCTCTCAGTGTTTTTCCACCAAATTCTCTTCTCCACTAAAAACCGGTTCTGTTCAGGATTCTTGGAACTATGGTGCTATCTAGTGAACCAGCACACGTGGAACCAGTGTAATCGGATCAAGAGGGGGCACTGCACAATGACCAGTAGAATGTGACGCATCCACTTTGGTAAACTTTTGTGGTTCCGAAACAGTTCATTTTTGGTAATAATGTGGTTCACAACTGGGGGGTGAACCAGAACGGAGCGGTTCCCTGTTGGTGGAAAAGGCCTGACTGTGGACCACTGGTGGATCCAGTTACTGAAACATTATTATAATCAATAAAGTTCATCAGAACTCGAAGTCTGTACAGAGTTTTATGATGAGTAATGGGTAATGAGTAGTATGTTTATACTGTAAATGTACAGTATGAGAGTATTTGTTGGATCCAGTCTGTGACGCTGCTGTCATGGTTCAGTGAAGCAGCCGAGACAATGGGATGATCTGAAGTTTTACACAGTAAGTCATGTTTAGGTATTTTCTGGTATTTTTAATGATATTTTAGAGTTTCCTGATGGATAGATTGATAAGTAGCCAACCGCTAACTGCCGTTAGCTCAGTCAGCCACGCAACTAACCTAACTGACTCAGCTCTGGGATGCCAGGACCCGAGTCCACCAGCAGGAGGCAGGAGTGATGAAGGCAACGTCTGTTGTGTATGTATTGATTATTATCAGTTACTGAGCTCTGACTACGGAGCAGATAAACATCCTGTCCGTCTGAATATTAAAGCTGCTTTTAAATTTTACATTTATTCAATCTTTTTTATGCTGATGTGCAAACACTGTAAATTAAAACCTCTTTTTTACTCTGATCAGTGCTCGTGTCAATCTTTATATTAATTCAGTTCAATTCAATTCAATTCAATTTTATTTGTTTAGCGCCAATTCATAACAGAAGTTATCTCAGGACACTTTTTAAATA